CTATCCACCTTCATCACCGATCATTCTTCTTCTTCTTTCCCTCACCTCTTTCTTTCTTCTTCTTTTTTTTTTTTCTCTCTCAGTGGAGAACCCGAGCTGGGTTCTCTGGTGAGAACCCAAATCTGGGTTTTCAGAGAACCCAAATCTGGGTTTTCAGAGAACCCAGCTCGGGTTCTCCCAGTGGGAACCCGACCTGGGTTCTCACACCAGAGAACCCAAGCTGGGTTCTCACCAGAGAACCCAAGCTGGGTTCTCACCAGGTGGAGAACCCAGATCTGGGTTTTCAGAGAACCCAGCTCGGGTTCTCACGGTGGGAACCCGACCTGGGTTCTCACACCAGAGAACCCAAGCTGGGTTCTCACCAGAGAAATAAGAGGAGAGAGAAAAACAGGTTAGGTAACAAACACCGTGAGTTTGCATAACGGAGATAGTTAGAGTATAATAAAATGTGTAACGTTAGAGGGTGTGTATATCTTTATCCAATTTAATATCATTTTAAGCACAAAACTGATTTACATTATTACAAATACCTTACGTTCAGCATTCCACGTGCATGGTGGCGCAACGACCACTGTCATTTGGAGCATACCGTGATTTGCATCTTATATTTTGGGTTCAATTTCCTCTCTAGACATTAACACTTTTAACAAATTAACACTTCTAATAATTGCCTTCTCAAAAAAAAAAAAAAAAAAACCTTACGTTCATAGATAATTTAATTTTAATTTCTGAATGGTCTTTTTGGGAAAATAAATTGATGACGATAAGGCAACATAAGCAGCAGCAGCTAAAACTAATGAGTGGAATAAGGCAGGGAAGCTCAGGAAAAAAACCGAAGCAATCTCCACTTAGTAAGTTTCCATCATTGGGCAGGAAAAATAAATTGATAGTAATTTTTTTTAAGCGTAGTGTTTTTGAGATCGGCGGTAGAATTCTCTATGTCGGAGATCCTCAGCCGTCGGATGTGATTCCGTGGATGGATTGGATGGCATAAAAAAGAAACAGAAAGAATACCCATACGTCGCTATCCAGGTATAGGACAGCGTTCTCTACCTCAATCGTGGGGATAAAAGAATCAAACCCCACATCATCCAAACACAACATTCTGGTGGAGCCCACCGGTTTCCCATCACTCCTACCCTCACCAATCCCCTTCAGCCACTTGTCCCCACGGGTCCCACCCCAATCTTTGGCGCGCATGCCCTGTATTATTATTGTTATTATTCTGTGATGCTACAATACCTCAACTTTTCGCCATCATTCACGCAGCTGTAATCCTTATCAAACGGCCCACAACCTCTGCCCCCCACCTATCCTCACGTACATCGTGCATTAGACGGTTGGATTTTCCCCCTCCCCCACTACACGCGTCGCCGTTTCAGTGTCCGGTCAACGTCGCCTCGAACAAATAGCCCTTCACCCTTCCTGCGTTCTGATGTTGCCATCACTCTCCTCTGCATTTCTGTCTGTAAAGCAAGGTCTCTTTCTCTTTTTCTCAGCGCCCACCTGCAACTCTTTCATAAATACCCTCTCTCTCTCTCTCTCTCTCTCTCTCTCTCTTTCTCTCTCTCTGTCCTTTTTCCTCTGTTTTCTTTTCTTCCCTTTTCCATATCTTTTCAAATCTAAGTTTCATCGCCCGTTCCAATCGATCGGATGCAGTTACGGTTTAGTTTCTGTGGAGGTGGAGCTGACATTCTGTTCTTCGGTGTCTGAGGCTTTGTTTGTTTTTTGATATTCTGGTGATTTTTTTTTTTCACGATTTTGATGGAAGAGGGGTAGGTTTTGGAGAAAAAATGGATAGCAGCTGGCATGCCAAATGTGGTTCGTCATTGCAGTCGCCGACACCGTCCATGGCTTCCTCTGCTCCGCCGGAGCATCGGAATCAGGTATGGAGCTTGTATTTGCTTGCAACTGTAGAGAAACATGTATAAGCGTCACAGAGCTGTGTTACTAATGTATCAAAAGCAACAGGCATCGGTTCCTGCATGTTATTGGAGTTTTCTTAATTTTGAATACAAGCCTTTTTTTTTTTTTTATTTTTTTCAATTTTGGAAATTTTTTCTATTTTCTATTTTAGTAATTAAGAGCAATCTCCAATGATACTTCCGAAATTTCAGTGGTAATGCAGTGTTAGAGGTGTAGAATACTCCAAGATTTTCATTTCCATTTATAAGTGCTTGCCATGTATATTTTTTTATTTTTATGCATTTCATTTACCGTCAAATTTATATTCGCTTTGGATATAAAAAGAACTTGCTTATGTTGCAGATGGAGATGAATTCAGGACAGTACTTTTATTCAAATGGCACACAAGATATAAGATCAACATTGCATGAAAGGACACATGACTCCATATCTTCCAACGTTTCGCATTTAAGTTTCCAGAAGACAAACCATTCTGAGCTGGGAAATTCATATCTGACTCTCCTATCTGGGCCTCCATCGCAATTGCATTATGATTTCCAGGAATTGTCAAATGCCAAAGCACAGAGCATCTCTAGAAGTGCCAATGTTAATGCTTTGGAAAGTCGAGTTTCGCAGACATCTAGTGGTTTGCTATCTGGAAACTGGATTAATCATAACGGGCAAGATGGAGTGCATCTTTCTCCTGCTGCTCCGTCCAGATCAGTATTCAATTCCATTTCTGGCAGCGGTTTGATTTTGCCTGATAGCCTGCAGACTACACAGTTAAATCTTCAAACATCCGACCTGGCCAAGGCAGTCATTCATCACTTGGTTCCTGGCGATAAGAAGGTAAAGGATTTATCTTCAAACAAAGGAGAATGGTGTGGTACAACTTCTGCAAATGCTAGGAATCTTCACGGTAAAACTGTTCTCAAGCCATCAAAGATTCCACCAGAGGCAAAATCTTCATTATCCAATCAGTCAGCTGCTGTTTTAAGCGGGTGCCCTCGTGTCTTCTGCTTGGGGACAAGTGAGTGTTGATGCCTAGTCACTTCTACAGATTAATTTGATAATCTTTGAATGGTATGCCTGACGTTTTCTTTCCAATTAAATGAAAAGGTGGTTATCTACTCCTCAGTAATACAGGGCTAATTGGTATTGTTTGCGCTTGCCACTTTTTGCACATGTCTGTCTCAAAGTTTTGTGAGGTAACTTGTAATTTTTTTAATCGTAATGTTTTGTGTGTGTGTGTGTGTGTGTGTGTGTGTGTGTGTGTGTATGTGTGTTAAATGGCCTCCTTGTGTGTCAGACATGCTTGCATTAGCATTTGGTGTGAATTTATGCTGAAATGCTGCATGATGCAGCATTCTGGATTATGTGATATGAACCCAGGGGATGCTGTTCGAGTAGAAAGTGGAGAGACCATTGCACATTGGCGGAAACGATACTTTGAGAAGTTTGGGGTAAGATCCATATGTCCCTTATTCTCAGGACCTGTATGCATGTTGGTTGGTCATGCCTGTCTGTTTCTGCAAACTGTTTGGTTTATAGTTAATTAGGTACATGGTACTGGCAATTTAGGGATGTCTATTTCGTTTGAAGAACATTTGGTTTTGTATTAAAAAAACCACATATTCCAGAAACTATATCAACTTTAGAGGATGATGATCAACATTGATTATTTGATTGACTCCAGTATTTTCAGTGTTGGAGTGACAAATATACTAATTGCTAGGGTTTTCTCCAGAGTCAAATTCTTGATGGAAAATGGTGCTATTTTCTCCAGAATGTTGATTGAATAAAATTTTCCTTTGCTGCTCAAGCTGTTTGGGTGTTTTATATTTTGTGCATGCATCTATATATGTATGTCTAATTTTGTAGTGAAGAGGATAAAACACATAAGAAACTCATATAAATTATGTTGTCATTGCCATATATCTTGTGTTATACTGACAATTGAGTTTCTTTACCTTTGGAATTGAGAGTTGTATTTCTTATTGGCATGTCTTTGAAGCAACGAGAACTCTGGATGGTGATGTTTTTATGATGGTTTAGATTAGGGTTCCAGAAGATCCAAGTGGATGGGACTGGCCTGAAGGATTATCCGTGACTGCTGGTTTGGTGAAAACTAGTGCTGCTATGCACCAAATATCTGGCAATTCTGACTTGGATAATCTGGTCACTTCACCTCAAGGACTGGCAATGTGTGGAGAAAATATCAGCTGTTTGAAAACCCCTCACATGGACCAGAATTTGTCTATTGATCCTTTGCATAACAAACAACAGCGAAATGTTGAGGATAGTAATAACATTCTTCCAAGGGGCTTGATTGGCACCTTGCAAAGCAATATGCGTGCTGTGGCAGATAACCATATGGTGGAATCTACTGTATCTAAGTCTTCATCAGCATCAAAATTTGTAGGTAGAGGTCCAGATAATGGTTCTCATTCCATATATGCTTGGATTGATACTATTTTGAAGACTGGAAACCCATGCCTCACCCATGCCAGTTTGCAGAACTTAACAGCCCTTGGTCAAGGTTGTGTGGTTAACACAGCTAAAATTGCACAAGATGGTGTAATTGCTGACAACAAGTCTGCTTCTTCAAACATAGAGTTAAGGCTTGGACAACCATATCAACAGAGTCAGTCTCTAAGAAATTATACTCTTCCATTATCTGAACCAAAACCTTTAGAGATACTTGCTGATCCTCCCAAATCATGTTGTCCAGAGCAGAAAATTCACTGTGGTGCGTTGAACATCTAGTGATACTTGTTAATCTTGTTACTCCCTGCTAGTCACTTTTTCTAGTGCATATGTTATTTAACATTAAAATGTTTTTAAAATTATGCTAAGCAGCCATTTAACAATTAGTCCTGGAACCATGCAGCTAACAATTGCGGTGAGAGGGAGGAATCTAGGCAGTATTTTCACCGTGCTTCAGGCCCATCTATTCCTGCTGCAAGAGAGGAACAAAGCCAATCAAACTTTGGGAACCCTGCCTTTGACGTTAGTAATACAAGGGATGCTACTAAATTAAGAAATTTTGAAGTTGATATTGCAAAGGGTTTAGTGGTTCCACCTTTTACTCATCTGCCTCCAGAGAAAGGTGTGTGCTCCAAAAGTACTACCTGTATTGTCGATATCAGTGAGTCTGTCATGCCAAAGACACTATATTGTGAATCTAGTGGCCCCAAGGCTGGCCCAATAAATGTTCTCTGGAGTGGTGGTAGTACTTCACAAAGGCAGTTAAATGTTCCCGAGTTGGGTTTCTTAAGATTAATAGACAAGAGTAAAGGCACAGGATATGTTTCTGATGGCTCTTGTGTTGCAACAGAGCCAGCAGTTAAAATCCAGAAGCAGATAGATAATCCTAGTGTTTTCACAGGAGCTGTTGGAGGAAGCAGCAGTCACAGCTTTCCAGCAGTACACGTCAAGAACCATTTTCCATATCAGTCATCTAATGTGGTGACGGATATACATGGTGCTAGAAACCTCTTCAACCATCCTGTGAACTCTCCTTTTTTTGGAAGTAAGGGGCACACTGGTCACGCTTTCATTAGATCCATGGGTTCATCTGTGGGTTCTAGTCAAATTTCACAGTCCTCTGCTGCCTCAACAGATTTTCCATTTTCTACTTTGACCCCTATGCCAAATTTAGCTTCTACCATCTCAAAACAGGGAGGTTTCAATCTAGGCCCTAATTTGCTTGATGAAAGCATGAAACTGCTTGCAATGAAGCAAATATTGGAGTTGTCCAAGTCCAAGCAGCATGCAATTTCATCCATTGGAATAAACCACGAGCCAGGGAGATATTGTTGCTCTTCTACTCCGAATTTACAGCATAGTATTCTTGACCTATCAACATCTGGGGAGCAAAGGCATGGACCTGGACCTATTAGTCCCAGCAAGCTAGATGTTTCTAAAAGTTCTTTGATGTCGTATCCATCTGAAAAAGCAGCCCAAGTCACAGGCAAGTGGTGTTTTAACAAGTGTGCTTGTTGCCTGCATAACTATTCTTGTTTTCCCATAGTATTTGCCTTTTTCAGTAATAATTTTATATATTTCCAGGGTTGAACAACTGGTGCAATTTATCAACCATGACTCAAGGGTTTCCATTATGCTCTAGAGAAATTGATGTACCATGTCATTTCTCAAATGAGCCATTTTCCAGTGTGCAGCCCACATTGAGGTTAGTCTGGAAACTACTGTGTTAAATTGGTGTTGATGTTATATTATCTTCTAGAATGAACCCACCCCCTACTTATCCCTCCTTTTTCTCACACTTCTACCTTCCCATGTGAAATAAACTCCTAGGGCACACGTTTCTAGAAACACAGGTTATGTCCAAACCTCATTCTTTGTTTGGACAGATTTAGATCATGAAATAGATATCAACATTGTTTTGATTGTGTGAGGATTACACTCCCTAAAATTTGTTATTTATTTGAAATGACCAGCCTTGGCAGAAGCGAAAGTTTATGTCAATCAGGTGACCATCTAAAATGCTGTCAGAGAGCACCTTCCACATATTTTCTGCATAACTGCAGCTGTGCAGCTCAGGCAAATTGCTTGGAATATTCTGAATCAAGAGTTGGACATTCTCCTGTTACATCCAAGGAGGAACTAAGGGGTTTCTGTCATGAAGCAACTGTCCTAGTTTCTGCTTCTGAATTTGTTAGAGATCATACTGTTTCAAAGGAAAGAACTATGTCCATGGATAAAAGAGGAGAACTGATTAGCAAACACCCTAGGAGTCAATGCTGTCACATCTCCCAATGGAGAGATGTCCCAAGTAAGAAAAAAGAGGATTGTGACGCAACATGCATGGGCTGGTCAGAAAAAGGGGCTCAAAACATGACATTTAATAATTCATCAGCTAATGAGTTGGATAATTCTAGGAATGCTGAAGGTCAGCTGGGAGATGCTGCAGCTAAAAGGTTTATTGGATCTCTGAATGTATCTGACTCCTTGAAAGGGCATGAAATGTCCAATATCTCTTCTGGATGCTCTGCCCCTGCTGTTACACAGGCATCATTTGAGGTTAACAATGTGGATTCCAGCACTGTTTATGCTGGGGAAACTGAAAATGCCAACAATCTCATAGTTGATGAGGGATCGACTATTGATAAATGTTGTTCATCGGATGATGCGCAAGAGAGTGAAAGAAGTGCTGATTCTCTTAGTGCTTCTTTTAAGTCTAACATGAAAAAAAGAGAAGTTCTAGATGGGCAAGCATCCCGTAGTCTGCTTGATGAGCTTAAGCTCATTAATTCCTTAACCTGGAAGAAAGGTAGAAATCAGATTCCCATTGGTCTTACTACTTGTGGGAAGTCTGATCATCTAAAAGAGGTTGGGATAGGCTTGAAAGCTGGGAAGAGAAAGAAATTCATGAAACTAAAAATGATAGATGCAGTTCTTCCATCAGACCATGAAAGACGAGCGTCTGTTTCTTGCTCTCTTAGAGCAGGATTATTTTCATCTACCAAAGAGCTTTCTCATAAAAGGGCTCTACATAGACTTTATAATGATAGCGAAGAAGATACTTACCAGCCTAAAGTAGATGGTTATGCAGAGTCTAGTAACATCCTTGAAGTTTCAGTCAGGAAAAAATTAAAAAGGGCTTGGGCTTCTGAATCTGTTAAGGAGCATGAGACAGATGAACCAATTCATAAAGTTGCTGAAAAAACCTCTAATTTTGATTCAGGATGTTGTGAGAAGGTCTTTTTAAGTCATGATATGGCGTTTGGTCATAGGAAGGCTAAGCCTGTTGTTTGTGGCAAATATGGTGAAATATGTGGAGAATTGGGTGGAGATGAACTGAAGCCAGCAAAAATTATTCCTCTTAGCAGGATTCTTAAAATTGCAAAACGTATTGATCAAAAGAGTTACAAAGCTAAGTTAATGAAGAGGAGAACACCTGGAAATACTGAATGCTTTGATTTATCTTCTGATTTGAAGAAAGAGGAAAAATGTGGCAGTAATCATTCTTCAGTTTTTCATGGAGTGAATCAATTGGTTGTGGACGAAGCCATGAAGGCTTGTGTAGGTGTAAGTAAGCAATCTGATGTCAAGTCATCCATGTGGGAGAAAGAGAGAGTTGATAAAAGTGAGAAAAACAAAACTGCTTATGCCCAGTCAAGCCATAATTACAAAGAAATTCGAAGGCGCAGCCTTTATGAGCTAACGGTTAAAGGTAACCTTTTCAACTATTTTCTTAGCAACTGCCTTTTGTGTTAGATAAATCCCTTTAAAATTTTTGATGTTATCAAGGCCTACCTAACAAGTTTTAGGATGGAAATATTTAAAATCAATACTGTTGATTTTGATGTATTAAAGAGAAGGTCAATACTGTTGAATGTTCGGAAAGGCTCATGGTTTTCAATGCTTGCGGACATGTATAGAAAAGATTTTAAATGTATGTTGTTTTGTTGAGTGATGATATCCCCCAATTTTCTGTAAATTCTATATTTTTACATCTGTGATACTATATAATTGCCAGGAAAGAAGTCCCATTCTCCCCTTATCAAGATTCCACAGTGCATGCCAAGAGTGAAAGTAAGGAACAGTCTGAAGAAAGCTGAGGATAGCAAATGTGGATCATGTGAAATTAATGCTGAAAAGTAAGCAAGCATATTGAAACTCAGATTAAATCAATAAATTTGCAGTCGATGCTCATGCCACATCAAAAAATAAGAAGAGTTTTGATTATGTCTAGTTGTTTTGGACTTCATAGTTGTTCTTTGATCTAATATTGGCTATGGTAACAGAAATATTGGGGAGCCTGGATTCTGCTCTGATGCTAATTCAGATGTATTGTGCTGTGTCTGTGGAAGCTCAAATAAAGATGAAATTAATCACTTATTGGAGTGTAGTCAGTGTTCAATCTTGGTATGTAGCTACTATCCTTGTGCTACTTTCTTGTTTGTTTGTGACTATCCTCTAATGCTGTGTTATAATGCCACAAAGGTACATCAAGCTTGCTATGGTGTATCAAAGGTTCCACAAGGCAACTGGTATTGCAGACCATGCAGGGCTGGTGCTAAGAATTTGGTAAGAATTTTAACTGTTAAACATAGCATATTGAAGAATTTCTGTGCACAACTTGCCTTTTGATTGCCTTTATGTCTTGAATGAGATTTATGTGCCTTTCTTCTATTGTTTTTTGAGCTCTGTCCTGCAATCATAATGACTTGGCTCACTATTGATCCACTACTTTCCAGATTCCAATATATAGTTACCCTGGGGTATGGATCTGAGGCCGACACTGCTTCATTTCTCTAAATATTTTTTCTTGGTATTGTATCTGAAAATTGAGGTTCAAATTTGTCATGGACTCTGCCATACACTATATTTACCGTGTGAATAGCCAACTTCTTGGTTAGCTGCGTAATTGATTAAAATTCTTTTTGTTGAACTTGCCTTTTGGTTCTGACCTTCTATCCATTTCCCCAAAATTTAGGCCTGCGTTCTTTGTGGTTATGGGGGTGGTGCAATGACTCAGGCTCTGCGGAGTCGCACAATTGTGAAAACCCTTTTGAAAGTGTGGAACATTGAAGCAGAATGCAGGACAAAGAACACACCTTCTGTTAAAACTATGCTGGATCATGAAAGTTTGCCACATTTGTCAAGTGCTGTACTTGATGATTCGTATTGTATCTCTAGACATGGAAACATTGAATCATCAGGTTCTGCAGTGTGGAAAATGGATTTGCAGAACAAATTGGATGCTGTTCATAATTCCTCATGCTGTGTTAGCAAGTTAAAGGTGCATAACAGCATTACAGCAGGAGTACTTGACTCTAATGTTAAACAGTGGGTTCATATGGTCTGTGGACTTTGGACACCCGGAACACGATGTCCAAATGTTGATACGATGAGTGCTTTTGATGTGTCAGATGTCTCATGTCCTAGAGAGAATGAGGTATGAATTAAATTTAAAGACGATTGAGGCAGATATAAATTTCATTAATGGTAATGCTTGTGCTTTTAAATTGATGCGTTTGGCTTGAGTTTGCATGTGGCATGAAGCTTCTGTATCATGTTTTGTTAGATATGTTACTTTTCTGACAGCAAACACTAGAATTTCAAGTGGCATAGATTTTTGCTTTTTCCCTCTCCCCTTTCTATATCATTGACTGCATATCTAATATGATTAATTCTTTTTGGAACTTCTATTGAAAATGACAAATGTCCAATGCATATTTTGCCTGGACTGGACACTATCTTCTTGACAGATGGGATAATTTGCTCAAATCAAAACTGTTTGATTTTATTTTAATAATTGTTAACCATTTACAAGCTCCATCTCATTTATTGGCCAAAAAAAAAAAAAACATTTACGAGCTCTGTTTTGACTATCATGCTTTTAGGTAGTAGAGCACATTTGAGAACAGGTTGTCCTTCCTTCAATGTTAAAATGTTGGATTAGTGGCTGACATTTATCTTTGCCCAGGTTTGCTCTCTATGTAATCGACCTGGTGGAACATGTATACAGTGCAGAGTTAAGAGTTGTTCAGTTAAGTTTCATCCTTGGTGTGCCCACCAGAAGGTATCTACTCTCAAAAACATCAAATTTTAGCTCTTTTTGCTGCCATATCTTACACATAATCTAGTTTTCATCTTAGGTATGAATTCTGAAGCTATGATTCTTTTTTTTTTTTTTTTAATTGTGGCCTTTTGTGATGAATCAAGACCCACATAAATGTGAAAAGGTCATGCAGCTTCTTATATATTTATTATGTGCATTTAAATGGAGCAGGACTACGATGCTTGTTTGCTGCTTCAATTGTCTGCTATTTAACAAAGTCCTCTCTCAAATCCCAGATAATTACACCTATTACATTGGTTGAATATTTTGTATAAGTGATCGTAATATAGTAAAGCATTCTATCTCTGACCTGTTATATCTGTGCTTGTATCAGCAACATATCAATTCTTAGTAACATGAGCTATCCTCTAAGGCAGAGTCGCCCTTGTGTCAATCTGACATTTCAAAATGGCTTTTGTTGTTATCATGTTATCCAATTAGAATGTGCAATAGAACTTGCTGCAATCCTAGACCATTTGTAATCTCGTAAGTTGTTTATCAATTGTATGCCCACTGGAAATCGAATAGTTTGGTTGATTGTCAATAGGCCTTTTTCAGAAATCACAGCACTATGTTTTATAATTTGCAGGGTTTGTTGCAAAGTGAGGTTGAAGGTGTTGATAATGAAAATGTTGGCTTCTATGGAAGATGCATATCTCATGCTACATGCCATACATGTGAATCTGGTGGTGATCAGTCTGATGCTGAAACAATTTGTCCAGTAGAAAGGGAATTAACATGTGCACGGACAGGGGTACTTAATCCATTTCTTACCTTTGTAGTTGAGGGGCTGGGGTGTACACTGATCACCCAAGTTGTTTAACTTATATTACAAACTTTTGACATCCTTCTTAGGGCTTCAAGGGTCGCAAACAAGATGGCTTTTTGCATAGTATCCATGATCAATTAAAAAGGAAGAGTAGGTGCTTTGTTCCTCAAGAGCAGTTAAATGCTTGGGTTCACATTAATGGGCAGAAGTCCTGCATACAAGGGCTTCCAAAGCGAACAACATCAGATATTGAATATGATTGCCGGGTAAACTACAATATTTACTAGTTGTTTTTGTCTGTTAATCCATTAGATTATGGCAGAAATTGGATTGAACTGATTTCTTTTTTCTCCTTCTTCCTCCTTTTTTTCTTTTTTTGGGTTCCCTTGTGACTCAATAATAATCCATTTCTAGATGCTGTATTATGGAATAGCATAAAGTATTAGAAAGTAGTTTAGCGGTTAGTGGTTGGTAAATATTGATCCTGTTTTGAAGCATTTATGGGGTGCACTAATTTGTTCATGGTAATTAGATGATTGAGATAAATATGTTGCGATTTTTAACTCATTTCATTATCGTCAGAAGATACAAGTATTTGTTCAACTTTCTCATGTTTTATATTTACCTGTCATGACTGCCTTTGAGAAGCCATGAAAAGATTATCTCAGGGTTTACTTGAGATCATGTTCTTTATTCCCTGTTTGATCTAAATGCCAGCGTGATGTCTTTTAGAACCTTTTGAGATGACTGCCATAAATAAGCTATGTAACCTCGGTTCAGGGCTTCTCTTCTCACCTGCAGAAAGAATATGCTCGCTACAAACAATCAAAAGGTTTGAAGCATCTAGTAGTTTACAAGTCTGGCATACATGCACTCGGTCTTTACACATCTCGGTTCATTTCCCGTGGTGAAATGGTTTGACCTTGTCCCTAAACCGATAAAACAAAATTTGCCATTTTGTCAGAAATATGATTAAAGTTCACGGTCTTTCTAGGTGGTTGAGTATGTTGGTGAGATCGTGGGGATACGTGTGGCTGACAAGAGAGAAAGCGAGTATATGTCTGGAAGAAAAGTCCAGTACAAAAGTGCATGCTACTTCTTCAGGATAGATAAAGAGCACATCATTGATGCAACCCGCAAAGGGGGAATTGCCCGTTTTGTCAATCATTCATGCCTGGTAATTATGGTTCTTCGTCTCCATGATTTCTAGTTAATTGTTTTATGTGAATTCTGGCCTTAAGTCGAGTTAGGATTGCAATGAAACAAAAAGGTTGGACACCAGAAGTTGGGGATTTCTTGAAGGACAGGAATGGTTGAATACCAAATATATGGTTTCAAGATTCACCGTCATTTCTTTTAAACAATTGCTTCTGTATCTTTACTCAGTTTCCTTACTTTTGAACGCAATTCTTTGAGCAGCCAAACTGCGTTGCGAAAGTGATTTCTGTAAGGAATGAAAAGAAGGTAAAAGAATTTTCACTTTTCCCTTTTTTCTTTACGATTTGCAAATGATAATTTATTTTGATACGTTCTGTGACTAAAAATTCATCCGATATTTTATACATGAAAGCAAGGTAGGTTTTTCATGTATAATTTGTTTTTGGAAGTTGGATACAGGGTGCAGCTTTAATATTTCTACCTAGTTAAGCAGCCATTATAGATTACTAATTGCTGATTTTCATTTCCATTAAAAATTGTAATCATAGCTTCCAGTGGCAAAATTTCACGGCTTTGTCTTAGTTATGCATTTTCCCCTTTCAGGTTGTCTTTTTCGCAGAGCGAGACATATACCCAGGAGAAGAGATAACATATGACTACCATTTTAACCATGAGGATGAAGGTAAGAAAATTCCTTGCTTTTGCAATGCAAAAAACTGTAGGCGTTACCTAAACTAACGATCATTCATTCAACCCCATTTGTACATTAGCTATTTGATCCATGTGTCAAAAATTTGGGCTCTCTTTGAGTGAACAAAATACTCTACCATTGCCCTGCAATTTTGTCAACTTGTAAATATACAGGGCTGTAGTCTGTATGTCACTATAATTTGGTTCTTGTAAGACATAATGTACCTTTCCCCTAAGCTGGGGATCCAAGATCGAGTCATCAAGGTATTTAGATGAACTGAATTTTAATCAGATGTTTTATTTTGGGCACTACGAAGGAACTTCTGCATTCTTTATCAAAGCACTTTTATTTTGCAGCACAAACTCAGAGTAACACAAATTGTATAATTAAATCTAAAACATGCAAGTTACCTAATCAATTGAGCATTACAAACAGCCATATGGTACACTACACCCAGTATAGGTCTCGTGTGGGGAGTATCAAACGTAACTTTTCCATTTAACAAGGCCCATTTCTGTCCCTTTTCATTCACGTGTCACGGTATGCAGTTTCTTTACCAATTCTCATGACTATAACCAAGTGACTGCAAGAAAGACTGCACCAGGATTCATTTTCTTCTATGATCCCCAATTTGGAATGTTTGATGTGGCTTCATTTACCATCTTCACGAGAGTCACCTGCCAGCCATGACATATTGGTTAGCAAAATTCAACTGGACAAGAGATAAAGATACTTTTAAGAAGCAAAGTCCGTCAATTGAAATGAATCTATGGCTAAAGTTCAACAAGCATGGGTAGTAGTAGTAGCAGAAAAAATGCTCTGACGCATACTGCATTCTGTGGAGCTTGCCCAGTGTTTATAGTCAACCAAATAAAATAAGCTATGATTCACAGTGAAAAAGACAGTATCCACATGTCCAGAACAGAGCCATAACTCAAAGCAATGCAATTGTACTATAAATTTAGGACTAGACGGTGAGATGGACATACCACACTTTCTGGAACCCCGGATGGAGGCAGGGGAAGGTTTCTTGGGGGTGGCACTTTATCATACGACCTTTTGTCAAACCTCCATTCTCCAATCGTCCCATAGGTTAACCTACCCTGAAATCAGAGGGGGAAAAAACTCCTGAACAAAGGGACACTTTTTCTACAAGATTAGAAGCAGATATGTTGATAATAAATTGGAAGAGCAGAAACCAGTAGGTTACCTTCATATCATAATCACATCCATACGTGAAATGAATAATGAGCTTTGCACCAACTTCAGTATCCCAAGGAGGCTAGTACATGTAAAAGAAACAATGTATTTAATTTGGAATAGTTATCTTCTATTGTTTGAGAACAATGTATTAAAAAGAAATGAATGATAATCTCATCAAACCTGAATCATAAAATCTTTGTACAGGATATTACTAACGCCATGCAGAGCAGAGGCAACAGCATAAGCATACCTAAAAATTATGAAACAAGATGTTGAAAACAAAGTCAAGAACCTAACTTAAGGTTAACAGATAACCTAATGCATTGTGGAGAAAAGTTGGCAAATACTCACATTTCAAGTACCCAGCCAAAAGCTTTATCTGTTTCAGGATCTTTTTTCATTGCCAAAGAAACATTCATCCAAGTGGGAGCAATCTTTTGAAGAGAATCCTGAAAACAATTCATAGAAGTCAGGAAAGTGCAAACCTGAAATAGATCAAATTCTAGTTATCAAGCAATACTGAAGTACCACATACCTTCCCAACAATGACCGGAGAATTTCCTATTGGGTCAATGTTGGTTATTGCACCCTCTTCCTCTGGATAGAACTTCCGAAGGACTGACTCATACTTTTTAGGCTCTATATAGAAGAAAGGAAACGCAGCTCCATGTCCATCTTTGGATAAGTTTGGTATTGGCTTGACAATAACATGGTCTGGCTCTGCCATCAGAATGTAACTGCATACATGGCAAACAAAGACAAATAAATTCAACCATAATTAATATACATATACATAACCACTGAGACAAAGCAATCAGGTATCTCATACTCTTCCTTTATGTCCGCTTGTTGAAGCCATTGCACAAATGCCCAAGGTCTGTTGAGTACTATATAACCCTGTGATTGGGGATATCAGATATGGAATCCACAGAATATTATTTGTATTTGCAAGCAAGTATATAAAAAATAGAAATAGACACAAAACCATCAACATCAAACTCGTTGTGTAGAATTTCAACACAAAACTGGCAACAAGATCTCCTTGAGCAAGTGATGATTATTACACTTCACAAAGAAAGGTGCCTAGATGAATTGAGAACGACTTTACTATGCATCATAGATAATTGAAGAGTTAGGATTATGACACTGTACTGAGGAGTTCCTAAAATTCTCAAAAGCCAACAATTCCTTAGGAATTAGATTTGCAATCGAATAACCCACTAAATTGATTCAGAAAACCTAAGCAAAAATTGAGAAAGTAACAAAACCCAGTACCTGATCCATTCCAGCAGGCAGAGGCTGGGCAATGAAAGTGGGTATCTCATCCATATACTTGTCCGGCTTACCGGAATGCAAGATCCTGGTGAAGCCACCCATATCGGAATTGGGTCCATCTTTGAACTTTTTGAACCAGTAGTACATGACTCTGCACTGCCAAGTATTGTAGACCGAGTCAGAGGCTGTGACGGCAGTGTGAAACAGCCGCCTCTTATCACCGGAACCATAACGCCTCGATCTCTCCTGTGGCATCTTGATTACCGGATCAACAATCGACGATCTTGATGGCCCCGGGAGGTCCTGCTTGAGAGGCGCACTTGCTGAGATGATAATGTTGTACGTAATCAACGCCACCGAAAAAGTTACTAGTATGGTGAAGAACAGATTCCCACAACCCATTTTCCCCTACACTCACGGACAACCCCTCCGACTTTCTTTCTAATCGAGAGGAAGAGTGAAAACAGTGACGGTTCTGGGCTTTTGGGAAGTCGCTTTGCTGTGGTGGGGCTGGTGGCTGCCTGCTTTTGCGGTGGGGTCTGAGGAGAGTTTGGGATGACCCGGCTGCCAGTGCCAGCGGAGTTGTTAAAATAGAGTCGTTGTCTCTGGGTCGGGTATTTGGTAACTTCGATGGAGTTGGTGTGAGGGTAGCTGTCTTCTTAGATATTTTAATATCATATTGAATGTTTCCTAATTGCATCTTTTACTGCTATTAATTTATAAGGTTTTATGGTTTCGCGGCGGGGTCATGACTCAGGAAAATAAATGCTTCCTTTTTATTTTTTTTTTTTTTTAGACACTTTTTGTCTGTGGATAGAGAAAACTTTATCTTTTGGATCTAGTCAAAGGCCTATCTTAAACTTATCGATGATTTTATCCTCAACAAATAATTTTTTCATTATTTGAGTTACACTCTTTTCGTTCATTTATTAAAAATAAAACTCTTTTTTTTTTTTTCACTTATCACTGTATAGCTCCTGTGATCACGTTTTTCATCGAAAAGCAATGTAAGGTATGTCTGAAGATATGTGAGTCCCGTGATCACGTTTCTCATTAAAAAGTAATGTGAAGTACTTCTGAAGGCATATGTCGTTAAAGTTTCAAATTTATTATTTCTTCATCTTCTTAATAATAAATATTAATTATACTAATATAATTTTTACTCTAAAAAAGAAATGACTCAAATTTTTGGCTCAGCAAACAAATGAACCACACATTACGAACTGTTCTTTCCTTTCTTTTCAAAACTATCTTAAAGTACCAACTTAATACCTCTAGTTTATGGTTCTACATACATTTAATACTACCTCACGAGTATGTTCTTTCTGTGTAGACACAGGATTCTGACCGTTGCTTAACGTTAGTATTTCGTTTTCCATTTTGCTTCTTAAGTTTTTTTTTTTTTGGTCATATAATGATTCTTCTCTTACCCAAAAAAATTCAAATGATTTTTTAGCTTGAAAGGGAATAGTTATGCTTCTTAATTGAGGCCTAAATTACTCCAACAACTACCTCGCTCCTAATGCACCCAAATGATAATTCCATATTTTTATTGGGCCATCCAAATGATAATTCCTTCGAGTAAAAGAAAAAAGTAAAAAATTGAGAAGACCTAATTTCGCATCTTTAAGATAGAAACTAATAAAATGATTTTGCAAATTAAAATTACAGAAGCGAAAAAATGACCACAAAGATTGAAGTCCATCCCCATCGCAACCTAAATTGATCAGCAGGATTGCATTTAAGGAATTATTATGGACCGTGCGTCATTCTTAAGATGTTAAGAACATCAAATTATTACCATGTTGGTGCTAGAGAATTAATGATAATAAAAATATAACAGCGCATATGCAATTATGCATGAGTTTCTTTGCCAGCTGGCTTTCAGCCTTAATGCTGGTATGAGGCAAAGAAGGAGAGACGAGGTTTATCTTCTGGCTAAGACCGAGCATTTTCTAGGCAGCTCTCCACGTGGAATCAGCATTTTTCTGACGGAAATTGGAACTTTGCAAGCACTTTCATTGGTAAGAAGTACTTCTGAGCATGAGTTGCAACTTGAGTTGGATTCCTGGTCAGTAACAGGTAGAGCCTAGAAATGCCCCTTCAATCTCCCCCACCATGCACCTCCAACCCTAATCTGCTTATGAATTTTAAATTTGATGTGATGCACAGACATTAGAATTATAGATGAAACATAAGTATCCATGGGAAAGAAAATGCAAAAATTCAAGCAACGTATATCACCACCATCAGTAGCAAATTGCAATAGATATTTAGTTTCTTCTTTAGAAATCTAAAAGAAAGTAAATAAGATGTAAACTTGCTTTTGCATATCAAATTATACAAGTTTAGTAAAAAGATTTCATGGATACCTATAGGAGATGGAGTACATGAAAATCATATAGATTCAAGTCCGGTGAAAGGACAGGTATAGATCACAGATTAAGTGTGTAGCAATCAAGGTAAAGAATAAGCACGCTCATATAGTCAGAGGCAAGTCGGAGGGGATAAAGGATGGGACATTAACCCACTAGCTCAGTACATGTGCTCCATTAAATTGATTTTAGGTAAATGGTAGCAGAATCAAAGCTGACATAAGATGATATATGGGAATATGGCCACAAGGGTGGGAACAATTTTTGCTTTCAAAACAAAGTAAAAATATGTGTTCATGCAGTTAGAGAACAAAATAACTAGAGTTACCTGAGTTACCTTTAGTTGGCAAAACATCCACATAGAAGTGCCACTCATCAGAGATGATCAAGTTATCGCTCTACTGCATCTCTGATTTGAGGGAACCGATGGGCCCATCGAGAGTATCCTGCAGTAAATTCACGGAATACATGATATCATAAACCAGCTATACAACATTTTTTGAGAAATTCTACAGCAGTCAAATATCAAATGACACACAAACCTGCAGTAATAATCTCAAGAAGATCCATTTCTGCTTTAACATCATTGGACATATCCTGCAAATAACTCAAACAGAAGAATCTTAAGTTGGCAATTTTCCTAAGAGGTTTTGAACTACTTAATTGCATACACACAAGCAGAATAAAACAATGTATGAGCCTTCCTCAAATTGAAACCACAAAATTAGGGTCTAGTATCCAGAGGGGAAAACCCCACATTCCTCATCTCTCCAAAAGAAACTGTGATTGATAATATTTTCTTATCACTGGAAAAAAAGTATATGTATATCTAGTATCACACATTGAATCCCCCGATGTTACAAATGTGTGGTTCTTGTTAAATGCTTAGGTCGGGTCCTAACACTTACAAAAATGTCAATATCCTTTCCTATGAAGCATCTTGCATTTACCTGCCCCCATGAAGCCAGACTTCCCGCAATGAGCCGTGAGAGACTAATAAGACAGTTACTATCAAAGTTTAGATGATTTAGAAGAGCATCCTCTGATGTAAAATCCAAGATCAACGTGCAAATGCTTGAAGCCATCATGGTAACTGATGGCTCATTAGTATCCCCTGCAGAAAACAATAGGAATGAAGTATTAACTTGAAAATTCAAATTTGGGCCAACAGCAGCCTAACATCTTGCTAAATCTGCCTTTTTCAAATTAATGAACTAGTCATCAGACTTATATCCAACCAGACTAGTTTTTCAAATTTTTCAGCAAAGTAAACACATGCGATAATACAAAGGCACTTTATTTAACCAATTCAGAACAAACTTCTTTTCTAGAAATTACCTGTCCAAAGAACCAATGCCTTCAACAGATTATAAAATGTTGATTTATCCTCTGGAAACTGAAATTGCTCTCTCTGATGATAAGAGAAAATGTGTTACTATATTGCAAGGATAGCGATTGATAAATTAGGGTACTACAATGAAACAAAAAACCTTCAGAAGAAAATTCAGGATTGTATCACAAGCCAAGAAGATGGAACCCTCATCCTCAACCTCGACCCCATGCTTGTTCTGCCCAATCAACTTTATAAGGCAATCCACAACCTGCAATGAATGATGAACAATATCATATTTTAAGAGAATGCCCCAGCTCTAGTACAACAAAATCACACCATAATGCCACTAAATGGTTCTCCCAAAAGAATGAAATGCAAATACTAAAGTTGCACATGTTCACCACAAGAATAAAGGTGCATTTAACTTATACTTACAGCTTTATACCCGCCAGAAGAAGCCAAAACCCTACAACCCTCAACCTGCATTGTTATTTGACATAGCATTGGTAGCAGAAAGCAAATAGAGTAAAAAGGGCTGTCATTAAAAGAAAAAAAAATGTCAGACAAATTAATCTTCCAAGTACAATAACCAAAAGAAAGAAATTGGGCTAGTTAACTTTTCATACCTTGATTCCTCTTCGCCTTCAATTGAAAGCATATACCCTAACAGTTCTCTCACTTTCTCTTTGCATGCAATTGGTGTTTCTGCAAGATAGCTGAAACAAGCAGAAATAGATGATTACCAATGGGTATGTCAGAGTTGGGGCTTGAGGAGTCGGGCTAGTTGCAGCTAGAGTGCATCAGCATCCTAAAGTTCTTTAGTTAACAGCATGGTTACAACTTCTAGAAGTTATTAACATTGTTATGCAGATTAAATATCTAATTAGTCTGTTAATTCAAACACCATCATCAAATGGTTTTTTTTTTTTTTTTTAAAAAAAGAGGTTAAAAAGAAAAGAGTAAATTCAAGAACATCTGTGTGCATGAAAGATGACATTAACCACCAATAGTCACTGCTAACCTTAACACCCAACCAATGGAAATTACAGGGAAAAGGAAATAAAATAGAAGCTATTGAGAAGCACAAATATGTAGCAAAGATGGCATCAAATGTACCTCCCAACAGTACGCACAGAAGCAAGAAGATCATTTCCTTTCTTCTGCCCATGTTCCTGTAGAATATGATTAGTGAGAAACACAGAAACAACACAAATGTTATAAGTACTCAAAGAATTACCTTTGCATCTTGTAAATACTCTAGGATCACTGTAACAGTCTCATTTAGCCCATTGATCACTTTTGTAAAAGTGCTGCCATCATCAATGGGATGCCCTGTAGCCAAGTTTCCAGAAGTTAGTTAAAGTTCTAAAAGCTTAAGGGAAACAGGTTCTAAATAAATGTGACTGATCTAAAATTCCTAATGTACCTTCAGTTCCACCAATGTTTGATATCAATTTGATTATATTCTCCACCAATGAAAAGGCAATAATCAGATTCCGCTGTTTTGATATAATGGTTTCAGCAGTAGTTGAGGAAGAACTCGCTTCATATTTTGTGTAGGCTAGGTCATTAAGCAAGACAGCTACTTCAACCCTTGAGGACTCTAAGACAAGCAACAGACACCTGGGAAAATTGCATGCACAAGTAAGCTTGGCCAGTTAAGATGACCTAAGGACAATAACAAAATCAACAATCCTTGACTACCTGTCAGGTGGAATAGGATCTTGTACATTGGGTAAGTTTATCTGACCAATCAACCATGCCTCACCCATTATAGAAACCATAGACTCAGCCAAAATAAGGGCCTCGAATTTTTCAGCAGGGGCTGCGTATTCAAATGATGGACAGATAAGTGTTAACAACCTTTAACATGGGAAGCTGAAATTCTGCACAAGGTTTACCATAATACTCAACACACTAAAAATCCAAGTGAATTAGTTACACTTAACTCTTGCTCCCCTCTCAACCAATGATTAAGGGAAAAAAAAAAAAAAAAAAGCTGACAAATTATCATGCAAGTTTATCTTAAATGTTCATCTATCATATGGTGTCGGTTTTAAAAGTATTTATTTGACCAAAACTCTGGTATATTGATTCTATGTAAACTACATTGTGAATGCAAAAACACCATTTACCTGCTGTTTTATACCCTCTAACTCCATTCATAGAATGAACATCTTAACTGAAATAGGGAAAAAAATATAAAGAGGAATATATGACATCAAAATGAAGTCAGTTTAACATACCTATTCGGTTATGCAACATAGCTACAACACCAGCACGCATATGGTTTGACCAGTTCTCATTTGGAAGCAAACGGAGAGCATTGCAAAGAGGTGCCTTAAAATAACAATTATATATCGGCATAAACATCAAAGTTAGTCATTAAATTATCACAAAGAAAACATGCCATCACAAATGAATGTCAAGATTATTGGTCCTTATGATTTCAAGAAGAAAAAGGATAGAATCTTTTGAAGAAGGCCATGGCAAGTAAAAACATCAAGAAATTGGATGAAGGCATCATCTGCAGATGCTACAAACATTTTCAGTAGTTTAAAAAACAGGAAAGCTCAATTTTCCAATTAGTTAACGACCTTTACTGAGAAATAGCTCATTATACCTTCAGATATCACTCTTAAGACATTCAAAAAGACCAAATTTGGGAATGATTAGATCTAAACAAGTTTAGGTTTAATTCTTCCAAATCAACAGATGATGTTCTCAGTACCCCAGGACTTGGCTGAAACTAAAAGAGGTCTGATTTATTAACATATGAGCAACAACTATAAGCTCTTAGAATAACTGAGGTAATCTTTGCAAAGAATCATGATGACAGTCCTACATACCAAATATTCTGAAGAGAAAATGGCAGATAGTAGGTGAAGTGCTTCAAACTTCATTGCATTGTGTAGAACAGCAAATTGCCTAGCCATTATGGACACCTGATTTGAGAAAGTAAAGCTCAGAAGTTTGATTGCTACCATAGGAATGTATAATCAAATATATTGAAAACAAAATAATGAACATGTAGACTCACTATGATTGCCAGCTCTGATAGACAGTCAACCTCAATGAAGCTTAGAGACAGCTTACTCAGCATCACTTGCACAACCTTCATGGCAAGCTCCATTGAATGAGAACCTGCAAAATATTCACATCCAATATTATCACTAATATTAGATGCAAGAAATTACAAACATCCTAATGACAGCTAAGATAGAAGTTTATGTAAGTTTAAGAAATTTGCTGCTCCCAATCCCAACTCCCACCAATTATATTGCATTAAATTAGTTAGTGATAAGACTGATTACTTACCATCCGGAAGAGAAGATATGTCAGAAGCCAGCACTTTCATGCCTCCAGACTGGTACAATGTTGTCACTCCATTCTGAGAACCAGCCGACACCAAATACAGAAACTCATAGCATTCTTCACGCACAGATAAGACTGATCTGTTACCAAGAATACACAAATGACTAGGTACACTCCAAAAACATAAATAGGAAATAACCAGGATGAAAAGAAAACTAAATATCAACAATCAACGACACATCTAAGCCTGGAACCAACGCCAGAATCCCTTCCTACTTCCTAGTCTCTGATTCTAATTAAGTAACCAAATCTCACTTCAGAAAGGGCTATAACTCCAAGCGGATAGATCAATTCAGGAACCATTAACCAAAATGAAAGGAAAACTGTCATTCAATCTGACTTTGAAAGAAACGTACTCCTTGGACATTACTTCTAGAATCATCGGAATCTTGGAAACCATATCTTCCGAAGCAGCAATCTGAGGAACACGACAGAATGCAGCGAGAACTGTAACCGATAGCTGCAAAAACGCATCTCGACTATCTTCTCCACCGCTATTATCCACACCTTTACTCAGTCCTAACCAAAAAAACAAAATAACAAGGAAAAATGAATTATGATATGGCCGAATTAAAACAAGTGCGTGAAGCAAGCTAGCTGTTAACAATTTGAACAGAGGTGACAGAGAATACCGGTCTTCAGGAGGCGTTCCAGAAAGCTCGCACCGACGGCGTCATAAATGGTCATAAGAGAATCGAGGTCATCGCTTTTGCATAATTTGGTGACGAGAAGCAGCCCGGCGAGACGTTCCTCGTCTCTTTGGCCTTTCAATAGCTTCAAGCAATCTTCAAGAGACGCCGGCTGCTCCCGCTGCCGAGACGATGACTCCTGCACGGAAGATAAGGGAGAGTAAGAAACACCAGAAAAATACAAAAATCAAAGAAAACACCGAATCCAGAGAGTGGGAAGTTGCTCCCGGAGACTCACCATGAAGGCCGACTGGCTGAGTGAATTCAGAGAGGAAACTTTGGAATTTGGAGAGTGAACGAAGGAGAATGGTGATTAACGTCCTTCTCAGAGGTTTCGAGATGAGAAATTTCTGTCGCAATGGTCTCCGGCCCTATCCAATTACCTTTGGATTGGACCATATGGCCATCATGGGCATTGGGCAGATCCACTTCCTCCTTGCCCCATTTCTGTTGCTAGTTGGACCTTTTCGTCTATGTAGATCCAGCCCATCTCAAGCATAAATTAAAGGTGTTTCTTTTGAAAAAAACCTGTTTTACAACTTTAACTGTCATTGTTAACTCTTAGATAAGAAATGAATTTTTTAGTATTACGAGCTCTACATAAAGGGTTTTATTTGGATTTTTTTATTTTGTATCTTTAAGTTACAGATTAAAGATAAAATTAATATTTTTTATATTTAATTTTTATTAAAAATATAACTGTTACATTCAATTTAAACAATTAAAATAATTTATATTTCAATAATATTAAAATAAATATCAATTTTATTAATTTTTATATATTTTAATTATAAAAAATATATTTATCACTTTTTTAATTTATACCTTTTAATAAGAGTGTAATGAATGTATCCTTTTATAATTAATTTACATAAAAATTAATAAAAGTTAACTTGAATTTAATTAATTGATTAATTAAAATTATCCACATAATATTGATACTAAAATAAAAGTTAATGTTGGTTATTTTTTATATAAATTAATTATAAAAAAATATATTTATTATATTTTTAATTTGTATATTTAATATAGGATATAGTGCTTATCAGTTTTATCTTCTAAAAATTAAAAAAAAATTATTCTAAAATTACGTCGTTTCAATAAATTGTTATTGAAAAAAAATTAAACTACCTTATTTTTAAAGTATATATTAAAGTATTTTTTGTCTTTTTTTCTCTTAATTTTTTAGAGATAGAACGGACAAGCACTAATCCCCTAAATATATAAGTTAATCAAAATATTTAAAATATAAATTAAACAATCTTTTTTATTATTATTATTTTACGGATAAGAAGAATAAGAACTATAAAACAACATGCTCCATTTTTTTGGGGGCAGTTGGACGTGGAAATTTCAAACTGCCGTGTAGCGGCAGTTATGTAACAATTCACGAGGATCCAAAGAAGGAAAAGGAATAATAAAAACGGTTTTTGGCGCCACGTTGCTCTTTATAATTTGTTGTCTGGAAGTGTCACTGATCCAACGCACAATTCTTCTTCACTTTCCATCGAAGGAATAACCATCCATGCATGTTTCTTTTTGGTTAAAGAGAAAAAAAAAAAAGCCATGTTCCCTTGCACTTCTTTTAGAAAACCAGTCACAGTTAGCAAAGTGGTTAGGTTAAAACCAGCGAAAGGAAAATGCCTAATTTCCTGGAATGGGCATGACAATTTCCACGCCTAACAAAATTTTCAAAAATACTACAAAACTATGACTTAGGTAGGTTCTAAACAACTACTTAGGTATAATCCCATGAAGCCACTACTTAGGTATAACCCCATGAAGCCATCTTTTTTCCTTTTTGGGTTGGAACGACTGCCTCTTTTATGCAATAAGTTAATAACAAATTAACAATACAATGCATTTTTTTTTTTTTTGACAAGAGTAATAGTTAGGAATTAGCAATTGGTAGTTAGTATCTTGCTCTTTGATAAGATTCGACCATTAATCGGAGTTTTGATAAGATTCGACCATTGATCAAAGTGCATTCCACCGGCAGCCCTTATGGGTTACAGTAACACCACTGGACCACAACAGTGAAATGCCAATACAATGCACTTCATAATTATAGGATGTCATTATTTACTATAAAGTACTTAAATTATCTTTTATTATGAATCCATTTTCACATAATGTGTTAAGCTCAGTTGAATAGTTTAATAAAAACTACTATTTATATTAAGATTAAAAAATTTATGAAATTTTTTGTATTTAGCCTTCTAAAAATTTAAACTATACTCAACAAAATAATTCTATAATCAATCAAACTATTAACCTTGTGATATTTGGGTACTCATGAGAATGCTAAGTGCCCTCAAAATTTATTTTTTCCTCAAATGAAGTCCGTAGCACTCCTTCCTCATGAGATAAGATTACAACATT